GTGCCTTTGGCTGCACCCCAACAACTTGGGGCCAAGTTTACCAATAAATTAAATGGCCAAAAGTTCGGTATGTGGGAACCACACTGACAAACCACCTCCAGCTCAGCTATGCAAACTCATTTATTGGACTTATTTTAAAGACCCATAAATCTCAAAAGAGATAAAAAGCCACAGTTAGGGCAGGTGGTGCAGCATGTTGCAGGTCATATGCCAATAATTTATTTCTCTGGAAAAGATGGAAACAAGGGCCTGATCCAGAGACACAAAAAAGAATCTCTGAACCAAACAGCTCCTGCAAAGATGCCTAAGGACTTTAAGACAGGCCAACTTCACCAGGGTGCCTCGTGAGGTCAGGAATTGTCCCTCCACCAGACCCCTAGAAACTTCAGCGGCCGCCAACTCCCAGAACCCAATGAGAAGTGCAAGTTTGTGGGTTCAGTGATGGCAAACTCTTTAATAATCATGATCCAGAGACACAAAGAAGAATTTCCAAACCGAGCAGCTGTTTGCAGAGATATCTCCAGAACCTAATTATCTAAAATTTTAGAATTTCAGGAGAGCACAGCCTCGACATCTTATGCTATTCATAACAAGCAATATAAAAGAGAGTATGGGGGAGATTGTCTTCCATAGAGGCAGGGGGAGGGTTGGGATGGGGGGGATACTTGGTGATGAAGGATGTGCACTGGTGGAGGGTTGAGTGATCAATCACTGAGTATCTGAAACTCAAAGAGGAAAGTTTTGTAACTGTATCTCATGGTGATTTAAGAAAAATGGAAAAATCATAATTAAATAAAATTAACATTCTGAATTAAAAAATAACGTAGAGTTCATACCCAATTCACTTAATAAATGGCTGAATAAATAGCTGTACTCCTACATTTAAAATAAGTAAATAAAATCCTTTAATAAATGAACATCTCAAGAGGAATTTCTTGGATTAAGAATTTTAAAAAGCTATCAGAAAATCATTGTGGCTCAAAACTTTGAAGGAATCTTTATGTCTGACTGTTTCTCCTCTTGCAATATATTGCCATTGGATGCTATAATTCATACTAGTGACCCTATAGCTTGTATCTCAAAATAAGGTAGCACTGTAGCACTGTCATTTCATTGTTCATTGATTTGCTCAAGCGGGCACCAGTAACATCTCCATTGTGAGACTTGTTGTTACTGTTTTTTGGCATATCAATTATGCCACGGGGCGCTTGCCAGGCTCTGCCATGCGTGTGGGATATTCTCCGTAGCTTGGTGGGCTCTCTGAATGGGACGGAGGAATCAAACCTGGGTGGGCTGCGTGCAAGGCAAATGCTCTGTGGCTGTGCTATCATTATAGCACAAAAATAGGGTGTTTTGGGTAAACAGGAAAGTTTTAAATGCAAGCACTTATTTTGAAACAATGATGCCTTTGAAATTGTAATACTAAATCTAGTGTATTTAGTTTACTTGTCTTTATTGGTCATCAATTGAAGGTTAACATTGGTTCATCCTTTCTCCTCTGTCCTTTCTCCCTTGGTGCAGGGAGTTTAGGATTGTTGATTCAATCATGTACAACTTTGTAACTGCGTATCTCATTGTGATTCATTTAATTTTTTTTAATTTTTAAAAAGTGAATTCCATAAAAATACACATCAGCAGCTGTGATCCAAAAACAAAGCAAAAAAATAAAAATAGGAAACTAAAGACAAGGAGTTAGGAGAAAACAAGGAGAAGAAAGACCAGAAGTTAGGAGGATGTTTGAAAGTAAAATGAGTGGTTGAAATCAGCTATGAATTTTGGTTATGCCATTAGATGACTCCAGGGGGCAGTGAGGACCTGTATTCTGGTACCATCATTACTGTAGTTTAAAGAAAATAAACTTATAAGTCTCAAGAACTGCCTCTCACTGTTTGTCTAAGAGGGAAGTAAGGGTATACTGTACCAAATCTGCTGTTTCAGGAGTGTAGCAACAGAGAAGGGAAAACTGGAAGTTCACTGTTGTTTTCTGTTAGTTCAATGTGTCTGCCTCTCCTGTTTGCCTTCTATGACACACATTTTTAAGGACTCGAATAATTGTTGTTTGTAAGTTCTTGAAGTTTATACCTGAATTAAGGTGCATGTGTGTGGGGTGCAGGGGGTGGGGTGGTGAGCAAATGGTGTTCTGACCTCACTGATACTAAAAGTGAAAACTTGACATTCTAGTCTTCTTTTTCTTAAATACTCTCAAGTGTATATTCCCCTCCTCTCCCTTCTTTGGTGTTGCAGATGTGGTTGTACTATGATGGGGGCCAGGGGGTATAGAAACACTGACTGTGATGCTTTTCCATTGAGTTTTGGTGCTCGCTGGAGCTGCACGTCAGGTGGCAGAACTTCCCCAACTCAGCACCAAGTGTTTTTCAGGGCTGCTCTTCTTGGCTTGGTATCACACATCTTATACTGCTCACTGGGGTTGTACACCATTAAGTTTGGAGTTGACACACACACTCTTGGCTATGTTACAGCTGGGAGTTGCTTGTGCATGGTTGGGAATCCACACAGCAGAAGGTAACTTGGGATTGACAATCTGCTTCAGAGTGTCAGGACAAGAGATGCTTCAGCACAAACAAGCATGGTTGAGGTAGTGACAAGTATATACCTGAGTGAGTCACCACCGACAGCCAACCATTAAGATCAACTGTTTAGAGCATGGTACTGGAACAAAGGCAGAGCTGTAGAACAATGGAACAGGCTTGAATATACTGACATTTCCCCCCAAGCATATGATCATCTAATCTTCGATAAGGGGGCAAGAAAAGTGAAGTGGAGAAAGGAAATCCTCTTTAACAAATTGTACTGGCAAGACTGGACGGCTACATGCAAAAAAGTGGGCTCAGATCTCTGCCTAATGCCTTGTACAAAAGTAAGATCAAAGTGGATTAAAGACCTCTACATCAGACTGGAATCCATAAGGTACATTGGAGACAAAGTTGGAAAAACCCTCCATGACATTGAAACTAATGGTATCTTCAAAGATGTCATGCCACTGGCCAAGCAAGTGAAAACAGAGATAGACAAATGGGACTATCTTAAAATAAGAAGCTTCTGCACCTCCAAAGAAACAGTGGCCAAAATACAAAGACAGTCTACAGAATGGGAAAGGATATTCATCAACTACACATCCGACAAGGGGTTGATATCAAGGATATACAAAGTACTGGTTGAACTCCACAAGAAGAAAACATTCAACCCCATCAAAAAATGGGGCAATGAAATGAACAGAAACTTTCTCAAAGAAGAAATCTGAATGGCTAAAAGGCACATGAGAAAATGCTCCACATCATTAATCATCAGGGAGATGCAGATCAAAACAACAATGAGATATCATTTCACACCACAGAAACTGGCCCACATCCACAGGAACAAAAGCAACCGGTGCTGGAGTGGATGTGACGAGAAAAGGACCCTCCTTCACTGCTGGTGGGAATGCCGACTGGTTTAGCCCTTTTGGAAAACAGTATGGACTATTCTCAAAAAATTAGAAATTGACCTCCCATTTGACGCAGCAATACCACTCCTGGGAATATATCCCAGAGAGGCAAAAAAGAATAGTCGAAGTGACATCTGCACTTGTTTGTTCATTGCAGCACTCTTTTCAATAGCCAGAATCTGGAAAAATCTGAGTGCCTGAGAACAGATGACTGGTTAAAGAAACTTTGGTACATTTACACAGTGGAGTACTATGTAGCAGTCAGAAAAGATGAAGTCATGAAATTTACATACAGGTGGTACTACATGGAAAGTATCATGCTAAGCTAAATGAGTCAGAAATAGAGAGACAGACGTAGAAAGATTGCATTCATCTGGGGAAAGTAAAGTTACGAAATAAGAGACTAACACCCAAGAGTGGCCGAGATTAGTACCAGGAGTTTTGCTCCATAGCTTGGAGGCCAGCCACACATGCTAGGGGAAAAGGGAGCTCAGATAGAGAAGGGAGCACCAAATAAAGGGTGTTGGGAGGATCCTCCCAGGATGGGAGAGGCATGCTGAAAGTAGACTATAGACCAAACATGATTGCCAGTCAATGCCTCTTTTGCAAACCACAACACCCAAAAGGAGAGAGAGAACAAAAGGGAATGAATGCCTTGCCACAGAGGCAGGGTCGAATGGGGGGGATGGGAGTGGGAGGGATACTGGGATCCGTGATGGTGGGAAATGGGCACTGGTGGAGGGATGGGCATTTGATCATTGTATAATTGAATCCCAAGCACAAAATTTGTAAGTATACAACTGTACCTCATGGTGTCTCACTAATAAAAATTTAAAAAAAAACAACTGTCTACACAAAAGGGTTACTTAACTTTGTCAATTTTAGTGAGAACCTGAAACATGGCCACCCACGAGAGGGCATTTCCTGGAGCAACACTGTACTGAGTGATCATTGAGAAAAGACCCAGAAGATTAGGAAGGTCATGAATGTATGCGACGTCAGTACATTTATTTTCCTCTTCAAATAAGGTATAAAAATGTTTATGTGAGAAAAATTTATATCAAAGAGAATTAATTTGTTTGATAGTTATGCTATGCAGAAATACAGAGGTGCCAGAGGTAGTCTATTGCTGGTTCAATCTCTGTCACCAGATCAGTCTCCTGGGTTTGGCCTTGGGGTCCCAGAGCACCATCATGGTGGCCCTAGTGATCCACAGCACCATACATTGTACTTGGACCACAGCACATCTAAACCCAGGCATTGAACTGCCAGCCCTGCTAGGAGAATATCACTGGGAGTGTCCTCCATGCCCCAATGAAAGTCAAAATAAGATAAAAAGTCAAGAGAAGTAAAAACTACTAATAATGATTTTTATAAAGTAATGCAGATTCATCTGGAGCCCAAGACCAGGTCAGAGAGAGGTGAGCAAGGCATGTTCAGGAAGAAGTTTTGCATGCAGGCTCCTCCCTTCTCTGGGGCAGGGGAGGCATAAGAACTGGAGAGAGCCAGGCCCAGGGTTGGGGTGTCAGCAGGCAGCACTCTGGGCACCTCCATCATGACCTGGGCTCTTCTCCTCCTCAGCCTCCTCAGTCAGGACCCAGGTGAAGCTCAGGGAAGGGACCCTGGGCACATCTGGGCTCACTCATTGTCTTCCTTCCTCAGGTCCATCCAGAATCAGCCTGAACTCACCAGTGTTTTATTTTCACTTTCTTTAGGGATCTGGGCCCAGAATTCCCTGAATCAGCTTCCCTCAGTGTCTGAGAATCAGGGACAGACAGTCACCATCTCCTGTACAGGAACCAGCAATGACATTGGGAAATATGACTATGTCTCCTGGTACCAGCAGCAGGACGGCACAGCCCCCAAACAGCTCATTTATTATGTCAACCGTCGGCCATCAGGGATCCCTGATCGCTTCTCTGGCTCCAAGTCTGGCAACACAGCTACCCTGACCATCTCTGGGCTCAATCCTGAGGATGAGGCTTATTATTACTGTTGCTCACCCAATGGTAGCATATGCACAGTGGTTCATGCTCATAAGGAAGTGAGACAAAAACCAGCTGAGTCTTCTCATCTTCCTTCCCTTCTTATCTTAGATGTTCATTTGTTTATATATTTATTTTAAAACTGAATGATTACAAACTTATGGTGTTTGATTTTTTAAAAATTATAACACTCTCCAAATTCCTTTATATTTAGTCTTTTTGTTGCACTTTATATTCATTTCCAATTCTCTGTGTATTTGTATGGTATGCAGGCATCATAATAATGAAGTCGTAAACAACTGTTTGGGGTAATTTGTATATCCACCTATAGAGTTGGAACGTTTTTGGATAGAGTTGGAATCCCATAATTTCAGTCTTTTAAGACATGTGTTCTTATAGTCTCATTTTGATATATCCATTAACCTTTTTATTCCATAAAAAATTTCTCCTCTTAAAGAAATTTCCAGTATACCATCAGTTTTTCCAATATTTCTCCTCCTCAACTCTCTACATAAAAAAATTTACAGTTCATGTCAACACATTTTCCTTGTTAGGAATTCATATATTCCTGTTAGGAATTCATATAGAGTATTAGTTGTTGAATTTTTCTTAATGATCTCAATATTTTCTTGTTCATACATCCTGAAACCTACATAAATTACTTGTTACAGATAAATAATAATTCATGTTATGATGATAAGTAATTTGTCCCTTGATAAATTAATCAATGAATAAAATTAAGCACTATTTCTGGCCTTTTCATTCAGAACACACAAGCAAATAGACACTTAATCTTTTGAATAGAACTATCCAGAAACAAACTGAAGCAAATTGAAATGTGAACACAACTAAGTGCTGTGGAATTTAAAGGTCCAGAAACTTCAGGATCTGTAAACCTAGGATGAGCCTGCAGGAACCTCAGTGAAGCCATGAAGTTAGGTCATAAGCAGTCAGCATGGCAGCAGCTGTGTCAAATGGTGCAACCTAGTAAGCTTCAATAGGGTGAACCACGGCCTGCCCCATTCTCAGAGTGCCCCAGATTTTAAGCAGGGAAGATCAGTGTGTCTATGGATTTTACCTGCTTGATTTGCATTTCCTCAGAGCTTTAGGTTGTGAATCTGAAGAGCAAGACTGGTGGATAAGTCATCATGATCGAGGTTGTCACTGTATGCTTATATTTAAAACAGGAACTTTTCTGTAATAAAACATTTAAAAATAAAATAACAATGAAAAAGAAGACCAGAAAAAGGGGAACTTTGTAGAAACCATCTGTTTTCCTTTTTTTAAAAATTTACATTGTCTTTTTTGGATCCTGAGGGCCAGGGAAAGAGGGTAGGAAAGGACTAAAAAGCATCAAGGTGTTTTTCAATTCTTTAATTTTCCTCAAGTGTCTATGTTTCCCAACACAGAAGAAAAGAGAAGCATTGGAGGACAGGATTTTCAGCTCAATTGTGCGTTTTCCAATTGTGCTTTTTATCAGTCCTTGCAATGCAGTATGTGGCCAATAGACAAGGTAAAGAGTTGGATTGGGAAAATTCATTACTGTGGAAAAAATAGAGTTTGCTTCGCATGTAGCCCACTCCGGTTCTATTCTTCTGCTCCTCTAGGAGAGCCCGGTAAGCTACCGATAGTATCCCGCCCGCATGCCAAAGCCTGGCAAGCTATCCATGGCATATTTGAGAGGCCAAAAACAGTAACAATAAGTCTCACAATGGAGATGTCACTGATGCCCGTTAGAGCAAATCAATGAACAATGGGATGACAGTGCTACAGTGCTACAGATTCTGAAAAATATGATGTACCAACAGCTAGTTGTCCTTCACTCTTCCTTGAAAAAATATGGGTGGGTACACTAATTTGGTGGCTATTCTTGAATCCAGAGGCACAGAATGGGAAACAGGAAGTTCAGGATATTTGATGTTGCTTTAAATTCAGCAGTTTCTCTCCTGATCTGATCCACATTTTACGACCCACATATTGAGTTACTCAAATAGCTGTCCTCTTTCTGTGTGTTCTCAGGGTTCTCTGCTGTGTAGGACAGAGAAATGTTGGTGTGAGCTCTCTATAGCTGGAGTGGAATCTGATGCTGAATGTATTATTTAACTTAAGTGGTATTTTTTAAAAACACTGTTTTTGAACTTATAGTTCCCCTTTCCTTCTTTGCTGTTTTAGTAGTGGTGTATCTGTGAGGTCTAAGGGTTGTAGACATACTGACTGTGGTGCTTTCACATTTATTCATGTTGCCTACTGGGCCACACATCAGATTTTAGTGCTCATACACTCAGCACCATGATCCCTGGGGCAATACTTTTCTTACACAGGGGTTCACAAGTCTTTAAGGACTGCTCATTGAGGTTTGCAGCTGTTCATTTTGGTGTTCATACTCACCTGGATGTTGTATTGCAGAACATCCCTTATGGCGCTGGGATGCAGGTTGCCAATTGACAGAGCTGCCAATTTGAAACAGCAGAACTTACAAGATCCTGTTCAGGACATGTGGAAGCACCAGGCATTGACCTTGAAACCTTACTCATGCCAGTCAGGCCCTTTAACCAGTGAGCTAGTCTGCAGACCCTAACTCAGTATTAGACCACAGGAACGAGAGAATGTGAGAATTCAAGAAAAACTAAAAGACAAAATGTGAGAAATTGCAGGTAGATTTCCAATCTTTTGAAAGGAATAAAGAGTGGCTATAATTTTTTATTGGACTTCACTGTGCAGGGTGGAGAGTAGGGTTCATATTAATATACCACTTTCGTAGAGAGATTTATGTATCACTCACCTATACATTCACTAGTTCACTGAGCTGAAGGAAGCCCAGAATATTGAAAAATCATTTGTGGTCTAATAAATGTACATAAAGTAAAACAACAGAGAAAAAAGCATGCCATAGGGTTCATTCCTCTCAATTTGCTCCCCATTACATTTGCCCTCATCTCATCCCTGACTTCAAGAACTGTTGACTAACAGTAGCTCATGAAAGGAAATGTTGGAAGTTTTCCCGGTTGATTAAAGTCTTTCCTTTCCTGATCATTTAGATCAGAAAAGGAATGTTCCCAGCCTTCTCAGGGACCCACAACTGCCATGGCTTTTAATGAGAAAGACTCTTCTTTTGTGGGAAATCCCTCTTGCTTCTGTTCCTTCTACTTGGAGGCACCTGATTGATTTCAAATAAGTAGCAGGAGCACACAGCTTCACATTATTAGACCCTCTGCAAAGATCCTAACTTGGGCTCCTTCATCTATTATTTCACTTCTATTAGTATCATAATCCTTGGGGCCATCTATTTCAATGTGTACACATTTAAGAGTATGAGTTTTCTTATAGGACTGGAGCGATAGCACAGTGGTAGGGCATTTGCCTTACACCCAGCCAACATGGCAGACTCGAGTTCGATTCCTCCGCCCCTCTCGGAGAGCACAGCAAGCTACCGAGAGTATCTCACCCGCACGGCAGAGCCTGGCAAGCTACCCGTGATGTACTCAATATGCCAAACACAGTAACAACAAGTCTCATGATGGAGACGTTACTGGGCCCGCTCGAGCAAATCGATGAACAATGGGAGGACCGTGACCGTAAGTTTTCTTATAATTTTAAACTTAGAGTTAATTATCTGTATTGCTTCTATGCTGGTGGATTTACCACTTGGAAGATTATATATTTACATTATATAACTATAAATTTTTATTAAATTTTATGGTGTGCTTATTATCTATTTCAAAAATATTTCTGTATGCTTACATTTAGAGTTGATACTTGTAGATATTATTGGGTTATCTTGATCTTTTACTTTAATTTTTTTTTTTGCTTTTTGACTTGAGGACAAGAGAGATTGGGAAGGTACTAGAAAGAAATGATGTGGTTAAAAATATAGAGGAAAAGAAGAGGAACAGGAGGAGAGATTTTCCAGTTCAATGTGCTTTCTTCATGAGTTTTGGTAATGCAATATGTGGTCACTAGGGGGAATTGAAGACCTTGGTCTGGGAAGATCATTGTGTGTTTTACCCTGAATTGCATGAAGTACCAATACCTGCCTATCCTTAGCTTTTCCTGGGAAGAATTATGACTGGGTGTAGTAGTTTGGTGGCTCTTCTTGAGTCCAGAGCCACAGAATAAAGAACAATAAAGTTCAGTGCTATTGGTGCTTTTGAAATGTGGAGTTTCCCTCATGAATATTTTATGATCCACATTTTCAGTTACTGAAATAGCTCTCCTCTGAGTGTTCTTCAGGCATTCAGCTGCCTTGGGTAGAGAAATAGTGTCTGAGCTTAGTAGAGCTGAAGAGGAACCTGTCAGTGAATATTTATTTGACTCCACAGCAAAGTTGGTATCTTTTAAAAATTGATGAATGTATATTCTCATTTTCTTTCCTTCTTAGTGATTTTAGTGGTGTGGTTGACATCAAAGGCTTTTTATCATACTGACTATGGTGCTTTCACCTTTCATTGTTTTGCTCATTTGGGCCACATATTCAGCATTGGAATTCCTGGGGCTCTGTTTTCCTGGTTCAAAATATTAATGTCTTTAGTACTACTCACCATGGATGTTTCTAAGAGTTTTGTTGTGCACTTCAAGAAGATGTATTGCAGAAAATCTCTTCTGGTGCCAGGATCCAGACAACAAATCTGCCAATCTGCAACAACAGAGCTTCCAGAATCATGTTCATGACATGTGGTGACACCAGGATTTGAACTTGAAACCTTACTCATGCAAGGCAGGCATTGTGTATTAGAAAGTGTCAGAACTGAAAAAAAAATTTAAAAAAAAAGACAAAATGTGAGAAATGAAGTTTCCCAACCTCTCCCTAACCCTATTCCTCCCATTTTATTTTAAATATTGTGGTTAACAAAGTTGATAACAAGGCATCCAATATTTGTTCTTATAGCAGCCAATATTCCAACAGAAATCCTACTACCACTGGCACCTTTCCTCTACAATTCACTTTATTCTCCCAACCAGCCTTCAATCATGCCCCCATAGCAGGCACACAATAATTTCTTTTCTCTTGCTTTTTACTACTAAATGGGAACTGGAAAGATCAAAAATTATTTCAGCATAAGGAAATTTCCCGGAAGAGAACAGTGCAGTCTCCTGCCCCCGCGGCTGGCTGTCCTCCCCGGGACCCCTTGGAGGGTAGGGGGTTGAGCTTTCCTCCCCGCCCCGACCAGGGCTCCGGCAGCCGAAGACCTCCAGGACCAGCCACCACCATGCTGAGACCACTCTCCGCACACATGAAGGTACTGGCAGAGGGACAAAGCCACGTGGATTCTGGGGCCGAGATCTCCAAGCCTACTCGGATTGGGGCTGAGCATCCTCCACCTAGATCCTCCAAATTCCAGTAGGCTGGGGTCACACCCACCAACTGGCCCCCTGGCACCATGTAATCTCATCAGCAGCCAAGACTCAGAGACTATAAAAACCAGCTTCCGGAACCACGCGGCCACAAATGCGGCTGCGCGACATCTTATTATAACATCATATTATCTCATTCCTACTTTGGACAAACTGGCAGACTACCGAATGTAGCCTGCCCACACGGCAGAGTCTGGCAAGCTCCCCGTGGCATACCCGATATGCCAAATACCAGTAGCAATGATGGGTCTCATTCTCCTAAAGAGCCTTGAATATAATCTCAGGGCTAGGATGAAGGAGACGTTACTGGGGCCTGCTCGAGGCAATCGACGAATAACATAAGGAAATTTGCGAAAATTGTATATCACCATTGGCATATTAAGTCCTTGTCTGAGCATTTACTGAGCCACTGTTGCAGTTAATACTGCTGTACAATTTTTGTTAGTTGAGATTGTTAGTAATGTTTGTTTGAGATAGGTTGTCTTTTACATTACATTACTATACAGTCTGGTGTGCTACTACTTGGGGGGGATGTTTTCCAAGCTTTTGGAAGGAATAATGATGAGATGTAATTTTTTTAAAGTTTTGTTTATTGAATCGCCGTGAGAACAGTCACAAAGCCTTTCAGTTTAAGTCTCAGTTGGTCATACAATGATCAAACACCTGTCCCTTCACCAGTGCACATTTTCCACCATTAAGAACCCCAGTATACGCCCCCTCCCAAAACTCTTCCCCAGTCTGTGTAGCAGATTTCCACTTTACTCTCTCTCTCTCTATGTTGATCACATTCAATATTACCACAAAAGATCCAAAATTACTATTTGGAATTTTTCCCAACATTCAGACCTGCCAACAAGACATCATTAGATAACTTGTTTTCTATTGCTGATTATGAAGAGCATATGATATTGTGTGACTGCAATAGTGGCCACGTGATTTTGGATTTCTGATATTTTAGTAATAAGCCTCGAGGGATTACTGCCAAAACTCCCCTGGGTTCTGAGATTGGTTTGTGTGCCTCCGAGGTCATGGTTGTTCAGGAGCCAGAGGAGGCATTTTTGGGTGGCAACTCGGGACCTTGTCACGGTGGGGAGCAGGGCTAGTTCCACCCTCCATTCCATGAGGCCCCGCATGCCTCATCAATGTAGTCTTACACCTGGCTGTCCATTAGGCTCTAAAAGATGGAGGCCATCATGCTGCCGCCACAGAGGGGAAAGGCGGAGGGACAAACACCCTTCCCCTCCTAGGGCGGCATAGCACCATAGTTTAATGCAAAGTCCAGATGCATTTCAGTTGAGCATTATATTTTGCTCAAATTTTCCTGCCTCCATTCAAGCCTACCTTCCAGGGACAGAAACTAGATTATTTACTTTCCACTGCTCACTTTGCATATCAGGAAATGTCACATGGCCGCATATGCAGCTGCGCAGTTCAGAAGAATAGTCCTGGTGCCCGCATACCAAAACCATGCTTGTAGAAGCTCATGGTCACTGGTATTACATCTGAAGAAGGCAGGAAACAGCACCTACCCCATCTGGTACCTCCCAGTGATATCTGCTCGGTATGGGGCACGGAGAATTCTCTGGGAGTTGTGGAGCCCGCCAGCCAGATTTCTTCGCTGCTGTGTGATGCAAGATGGCGCGGGGTGGGGGGCGGGTTGAGGGTGTGACTTCCTGAATCAGGGGCTCACTGGGAGCCATGGTGGAACTGCCCAGCCTAGCATCCCCCTGCAGTTCAGAAGAATAGTCCTAAGTTGGTCTTCACAATACAGGCTGGAGAGGTGGAATTTTATTCACATATCATTTACATAGAGAGATTGATATATCATGTACTCATATATTTATTGGTTCACTAGATTAAAGGAAGCCCGAGAATGGTGAAAACATATTAGTATTATAATATCTAGTATTATATGTAGCATTATATATTATATTCGCTGGAGCAATAGCACAGTGGGTAGGGCGTTCGCCTTACAAGCGACCAACATGGCCGACCCGAGTTTGATTCCTCCACCCCTCTCGGAGAGCCCGGCAAGCTACCGAGAGTATTCGATATGCCAAACACAGTAACAACAAAGTCTCCAATGGAGACATTACTGGGCCCGCTCGAGCAAATCGACGATCAACGGGAGGGCCTTTACCTTTACCTTTACCTTTACCTTTATATCATATATACTATATTGTACATAGTATTATAATCACTGTATAAGGTAAAATAGAATAAAATATTGGATAATACAAATTCATAAGAAGTACCTCACTGTGTATATACAAAGTCACAAAACTGAGCTTCTACTTCTCTCTCTTTTTCTCTTACTACTCTTTTAAATGCTAAAATACAATACATAATTTACTGCCTTGACTCTTGTTGAATGAGAGTTGGAGAGAGGAAATTGATATTGACAAGTTCAAGAATGCAAAGGCAACGTTGGGAGACATAAATGGGAGTATCATTCCTTGTGTTTTTCTGTATTGCTGTTTATTATTAGGACTTCTTCAATTTGGAGCATCCCTATAATGGGAATTTATTTTTGGAGGAGAGGGGTTGGGTCACACCTGCTCAGGACTTACTGCTAATCTGTTCTCAGGGTCTACACCTAGCAGGAGTCTGGGGACTGACCATATGGAGTGTGGGGTCTTATACTAGACAAGTGCCCTGTACTGCACTATCTCTCTGCACTCTCTTTTTGGTTTTCTGAAATTTATTTTTAAATACTACAAAATGATTAGATACACATTATGGTCTTTGGTGTTTTAAGGAGCTGAAGTGATCATATAGTTTGTAGGGTTTTGCCTTGCACACAGTTGACCTGAGTTTGTTTCTGGCATCGCATTTGTTCCACTGTCCACTGAGCACTGACAGAAGTAAATTGCAGAGACAGAAATAACCTCTAAGCAAAATTTGAACGTTAACAGAGACTGATAAATGTGATTGACTTGTTGGGGAAGCAGAGCAGAAAGAAAGAGGTTAAATATAAACACAAAGGAATTGGAGTGCCTCAGGAGCACTGTGATGAGTGTAACCCAGTAAACCTAAGCTCCTTGCAGCCAGGCAGAAACTACAAACCAATGTTATCCTACATTTCTTAACTTAACTTCCTCCTTTGTTTATTTTATTTCTTTTCCTATGTTTTCTCACCCCTCACCCTACCAGTACATCAAGATCACTAACAGGAAATAAATGCATTTTTTAAAATTTTTATTAGTGAAACACCATGAGGTACAGTTTTAGACTTACAAATTTTTGTGCTTGGGTTTCAGTTATACAATGATCGAGTACCCATCACTCCACCTGTGCCCATTCTCCACTTCCACTAATCCCAGTATCCCTCCCAGCCCCATTCCCCATCTCACCCTGTCTCTGTGGCAGGGCATGTCCTTTTGTTCTTTCTCTCCTTTTGGGTGCTTGGTTTGAAAAAGTGAAATTGAGTGGCAATCATGTTCAGTCTATAGTCTACTTTCAGAATATATCTTCCATCCTGGACGAATCTTCTCAACACCCTTTATTTTGTGCTCCCTTCTCTATCTGAGCTGCCTTTACCCCTAGATGTTCATCAGCAGAGAATGAACTTTAGGTGAACAGTGGACTCAGTGGTCTGTATGGAGCTTGGACTGGAGGAAGGCAGCAGAGGAAATGGCATGGAATGTTCCATTTCCCTCTCAGATGCCTCTGCTGGAGTTGGGCTATGATATGTGTCCACTGAAAGGCAATAAAAGCTTGTATTTGAGAGAATACCTTGATGTGGTCCCCTGACCTTCATAAAGTCCCATGAATTGCTCTCCTATGAAATTTGCTAAAGTGACTGAGATTGACTCTTCCATGAGTTATACCCCAATAAATCGGAGAGCCCGGCAAACTACCGAGAGTATTCGATATGCCAGACACAGTAACAACAAAGTCTCCAATGGAGACGTTACTGGGCCCACTTGAGCAAATATTTTATATATAATCATATAAATTAAATATATAATTGGATTATATATAATCCAAGCTCCCGGGAGAGAACAAGGCAGAGTCTCCTACCCTGTGCCTGACTGTCCTCACCAGGGCCCAACAGCTGAAGACCTCTGGACCCCAGCCAAGGCCATGCTGGGACCACTCTACACACACTTGGATGAGACTCATGCATAAAAGAACTGGCAGAGGAACCCAGGTGTGTGGGACCCGGGGCTGAGATCTCCAAGCCTGCACGGTTTGGGACTGGACCTGCCAGTAGCTAGACAGTTACACCCACCAACTGCCGTGTAACCCCAACAACGGCCAGGATCCAGAGATTATCACACTCAGCTCCCGGAAGCGTGTGGCCGCATTTGTGGCCGCTCAACATCTTATCATCCCATTCCTACTTTGGACAAACTGGCAGGCTACCAAATGTAACCTGCCCACATGGCAGAGTCTGGCAAACTCCCTGTGGTGTACCCAATATGCCAAATACCAGTAACAATGAAGGGTCTCATTCTCCTAACTCTGAAAGAGCCTTGAATATGGCACTTTTTTTAAAAAAAAATCTCAGGGCTAGGATGAAGGGGGCGTTACTGGGGCCTGCTCAAGGCAATCGACGAATAACAGGATGGTTGTTATTGTGATTGATATAATCATTAAATATTTTCTAGCTCAACCCCTACTTAAGGCCACCATATAACTTAAGACAGAAAACCCAGACTGCTGAGGAGACCTAGAGAGTTCTGAAGAAAAATGCGAAAACTCCAGTTTTGCCTGAAGGCTATGAAAACAGAACAGCCTCCTCTGTCATCATCACCATTTCATGGAGAACACAGAATGGAGACCCCAGATTCCTGAGCCAGGAATTTCAGGGCTGTTTCTCCTTCAACAGGAAGGATGGTAATCACATCATGGTACAATCTGTGACAACGCCTGCAGATGTGTTTTAATCTTTCTAGTGAGAGCTTCAGTATAGAGCTGCAGCATCACCGGGTCAATTTGAGCAGGTGGGTGTGAACAGATGTTAAGTGAGGAAGAATATTTGCATGGAGGCCCTTCCCTCCACAGAGGCAGAGCAAGGGATAAGAGTATGTGTGAGTGGGAGTTCCAGCGTTGGGATTCTGGGGTGAGCAATCTTGGAGTGTTTCCACTATGGCCTGGACTCTGTTTCTACTCACTCTCCTCACCCAGGCCACAGGTGAGATTTCCGGGCGTGGGTGTGAGGGGGATGCTAGTTTGATTTTATGTCCTCTCCTCAGATTAACCTGTAAAATATCTCAAATTCAACAGAGTGTGAATCTCATTTCCGCCTCCTATTTTTCAGGTTCTTGGACCCAACATGCCCTGACTCAGCCTTCCTCCTTATCTGAGGCTCTGGGACAAATGATCACCATCTCCTGTGATGGAAGCAAAAGTGACATTGGCTTTTACTTATATGGTGTCTCCTGGTACCAACAGCACCCAGGCACAGCCCCCAAACTCTTGGTTTATGATACAACTTCTCGGCCCTCAGACATCCCTGATCGCTTCTCTGGCTCCAGGTCAGGCAACACAGCGACCCTGACCATCTCTGGACTCAAGCCTGAGGATGAGACTGATTATTACTGTTGCTCACGCAGAAGTGATAACACTTTGCACTGTGGTTGTTGTTCATAAGGAAGTGAGACAAATATCTGTTCTCAGACTCCTCAGACTGTCACACTTCTGAATCCAAGTTTTTTTTTTCTTTTTGGGTCCCACCCAACAATGCTCAGGGGTAGCTTCTGGCTTTGCACTCAGGAGTTACTCCTGGCGGTGCTTGGGGGAATGCCAGGGATCAAACCCGGGTCAGCTGCATGCAAGGCAAACGCCCTACCTGCTATACTATTGCTCTGGCCCCATGAATCGAAGTTTTGCTGCTTTTGTCTTACTTAAAAACTTTAAGTTAATTAAAATACTTAAATAGGGGCTGGAGCAATAGCACAGCTGGCAGGGCGATTGCCTTGCACGTGGCCGACCCGGGTTCGATTCCCAGCAACCCATATGGTCCTCTGAGCACTGCCAGGGGTAATTCCTGAGTGCAGAGCCAGGAGCAACCCCTGTGCATCGCCAGGTGTGACCCAAAAAGCCAAAAAAAATTTTTTTAAAAAAAAAACTTTAAGTTAATGTAAAGTTTAAATAACAAAGAAATCTTCAATAATTTTTTCACCATATATACATTTCATTTCTAATTCTCTCAGCATATATGATTAAAGAATAGATTAACTTTATTTTAATCACTTATAAAATACTTATTTAGAGTATTTATAGTTCTTGTTTCTCTTTCAAAACGTTTATTTTATATCTCATATTTAATATTTTATAGTTAAGATATTTTAGATTCGTTTTATAGTTTTACTATATTTACATTTGTGCTTCTGTTAACACAATTATTCTTTAACTCTTTTATGTACCTAAAAGAAATTCCTATATTATTGCAAGTACCTCTTAATTCCTTCCTAGCTTAAACTCACATAAACAAAAATAAAACTTATTGGTGCTAATGTTTGCTTATTTGAATCATTTCACGTTAATGAAATGATTAATACATCGAACATTGTGTTTGGTTTCTCCTGTTCTTTATCAAGTTTTTTCCTTATTTATTATTATAGCTCTAGATATGGTTCAATATTTCCATGAAAAATTACAATATCTATATATGTGTATAATATATGTGATATTGGAGTATTCCTGCATTAATTGAGTTTCCATTGTAACTGAATTTTTCCAATTGTTCAGAAACTGAGCAATCTTGGAAGCTAACCTAGATATATACAAATTCTGTAATGAAATATGTCATTTAGTAATTGTTGGGTTTTGTTTTGGGGCTATATTCATTGAAGCTTAGGAGTGATATTTGTCTCTGCAATCAAAAATTATCCCTGGCGGTGCTTTGGGGACCATATGGAATATTAGGGAACCAACCGAAGTTGGTCATGTGCAAAGCAAATACTCTACCCACTGTTTTATGCCTCTGATCCAAGACCAGTCATTTTAAAAAAATTAATAGGTATCTTGTAACATATTACCAACTAGATTGTGTCCAGTCTACTGGACTCATCATAATCTGTAATTTCTTCTCTATGCCAGAAAATTGCAAAATCTTTTCTCTAATCTTGAGATATGTTCTAAATGTGAGCTTCAGGAAAGCCTACTGAAGTGGTTTCTATTATTTAAACATTTTCTGACTAACAACCCTACCTTACTTAATGTTATAATCCATGCAATGAAGCTCAAAAGTTAGTCAAAAATAATAATTTGAATTTTTTTAATTTCAGAATTCAATACCTAAGCCTTTTTTTCTCCAAAAGGCTTCTCTTCTTATTGTTTTTTTACCTTCCTTCCTTTCTTTCTTTCTTTCTTTCTTTCTTTCTTTTTTTCTTTCTTTCTTTCTATGGAATCACCATGAGATACACAGTTACAAACCTGTTCATGGTTGGTTATGAGTTCTACAATGTTCGAACACCCATCCCTTTGCCAGTGTACATTTCCCACGACCAATGTCCCAGTTTCCCTTCTCCTGCCTGTTTCTATAGCAGGCACAGTACTTCTCTCTCTCTCTCTCTCTCTCTCTCTCTCTCTCTCTCTCTCTCTTTCTCCCTCTCTCTTTCTCTGTGTGTATGTGTTCTTTTTCGGTTTGTAATACAGATACTGAGAGATTACCATGTTTGTTCCTTTACCTATTTTCAGCACACAGTTATTATGCGGAGTGATCATTTTCAACTTTTTCATGGTGGTTACTTGTCTATATCAACTGCCTTCTTCCCCAACACTTTTCACTCTCTGAATAAGAAAATTAGGACTTAATCAAACCTTGGAAGAGGAAGAGAGAAACAATTTGCAGAGATGCCACTGACCCCCACGCTAGACTGAGTCACATCCAGGGAAACCCAGAAGGGGGTGGGTGAGCCCAACCACTCACCTAAACAACCCGATAGCTAAAAACCTCAATTGTTACAATTGTTACAATTGTAACAATTGTAACAATTGTTACAAGAACTCAATTGTTACAATGCTCATGGCCAATCTCTACAGGATCAGATGAGATTCATCCATGAGTGAATCTGCTGCAAAATTTTGTGACTGAAATCTCCAGGCTCACATGGAGTATGGAATGGACGACTTTCCCCATCCACTTCTGCTTTAATCACTTAATCACTTAACTTCTCGTTAGTTGTCGATTTGCTCGAGCGGGCGCCAGTAACATCTCCATTTGTCCCTGTCGCGTGTTAGTGTAGCCCAATGGCATCTGTTCGCTCCGGGAACATGAAGGGCCTCAAACCAATCGTTCATGATCTTGACAAAGAAGTCTGACCATCTGGTAGGTGGGCGGCCACGCGGTCTTTTGACATCCCGTGGAATCCAGTCGGTAACAGCTCTAGTCCAGCGGTCGTCTTTAAATCTCATTACGTGACCAGCCCATCTGATTTTCGACACCTTGACAAATGAGACAGCGTCCCTGATTCTTGATCGTTGACGGATGTCAGAACTCCGGATTCTTTCTCTCATTTGAGTGAAACATGATATTCCAAGCATAGCTCTTTCTATTCTTCTTTGGGAGACCTGAATAGCGTTCTCATCTTGTTTGCGTAGGGCCCAGGTCTCTGAGGCATATGATAATGCAGGAAGAACAGTGGAACCAAAGAGATGTGCCCGGAGCCGGAGGTTCTTCGTCCTCTTAGCTATTTCTTCGACGTTCTTGAAGGCGTTCCAAGTCGCTCTCTTCCTCCTGCACAGCTCGGGTGCCAGGTCATTTGTCATGTTGACCTCTCGACCTAGGTACACATAGCTGTTGCATTCGGAGATGGTCGTTCCATTGAGAGCGAATGGGGCGTCAGGAACGAGGCTGTTTCTCATAAATATTGTCTTCGTAAGATTTAGCTGTAGTCCTACCTTTCCACACTCATGGTCAAAGTCGGCCAGCATTTGTGCCGCTTGGCTGATGTTTGGTGTTATTAAAACAATGTCATCAGCAAAGCGGAGGTGGTGTAGTTGCCGACCATCTATCTTCACTCCCATTCCTTCCCATTCCAGTCGTCGCATGATGTTCTCGAGGGTGGCACTGAAGAGTTTCGGTGAAATAGTATCACCCTGCCGCACCCCTCTCTTGATATCAACGATCACTTCTTTGTAGAATGCTGAGATCCTGGTAGTGAATCCGCAATACAGCTCATGGAGGATCCTGATGTATTGGGCTTGAATGCCCTGATTGGCTAGGGCTTCAATGACCGCTTCCGTCTCAACAGAATCAAAGGCCTTCTTTAAATCAATGAACATTAAACAGAGCAGCATCTTGAACTCCCGAGAAACCTCAATGAGCTTGGTTATCGTGTGGATATGGTCGATGGTGCTGAATCCTTTGCGGAACCCGGCTTGCTTGCATGGTTGTCCTTCATCTAGTGTTCTGCCAATCCTATTTAGGATGACTCGAGTGAACAACTTGTAGATGACAGACAATAGGCAGATCGGGCGATAGTTGCCAATGTCATAGATGTCTCCCTTCTTGAACAGTAGTACGGTCCTGCTGGTTTTCCATTGGGACGGAATCTTGCATTCAGACAGGTAGCAAGTGAAGAGCTGAGCCAGTGTATTGATGAGTACTGACGGCAGGTTCTTCAGATGTTCAGGTCTGACCTTGTCTGGGCCGGGTGCTGTTTGTTTCTTTACCGATGAAATGGCAGGTCGGATTTCGGAAGGGAGAACGTTGGGAATGACATATCCATCCTGTGGAATTTGGTATGTCGGCAAGTGGACATGGCTATCGAAGAGATTTGAGTAGAAGTCATGGATAATCTTCTCCATTGCCATTCTGGAGGATGTGATGGATCCATCAGGACGTCGGAGGGCAGTCATCTTGGTCTTGTAGTTGGCGAAGGACAGGCAGGCGTTACGAATACTTTTCCCGGCTTGTGCCGCATCTACCAGTACTTCTGCTCTTCTCTCTTTGAGGTCTTCCTTGATCGCATCTCTGCACTGCTTTGCAAGCTCCGACATTAGCTTGCGGTTGCCTGAGGCATGCGCCACTCCATGCTGGCGAATTAGCTCAAGAGTTTTCGAAGATAGGCGATTTTTTGTGGCTATCTCTCTCTTGGCGTTCCTCGCACATTCATGGAGGTGCTGAACCAGTCGATCATATTCCTCGTCAATGTTGTCAACAATGGCATCTTCCCATGTTGCCGC